CAATCAGAGAAAGACATGTATCATATGACCTCACTGATATGAGGTATTCTTAATCTCAGGAAACAAACTGAGGGTTGCTGGAGTGGTGGTGGGGTGGGAGGGATGGGGTGGCTGGGTGATAGACACTGGGGAGGGTATGTGTTATGGTGAGCGCTGTGAATTGTGTAAAACTGTTGAATCACAAACCTGTACCTCTGAAACAAATAATATAGTATATGTTTAAAAAAAAAAAAGAAGACAGCAGGAGGGGAAGAATGAAGGGGGAGGAAATCGGGGTGGGGGAGATGAACCATGAGAGACTATGGACTCTGAGAAACAAACTGAGGGTTCTAGAGGGGTGGGGGTGGGGGATGGGTTAGCCTGGTGATCGGTATTAAAGAGGGCACATTTTGCATGGAGCATTGGGTGTTATACACAAACAATGAATCGTGGAACACTACATCAAAAACTAATGATATAATGTATGGTGATTAACATAACAATAAAAATTTTTAAAAAAAGAGGAATCTAAAGTAAAAAGGCAGGAAAATACAGCCTAGGTGAGAATGATACCTCTTGTTCATTTGATATGTTGCTCTAGTGGACAATTAGAGTGTGGGTGTAAAATAATAAGTTTTGGAATTTTAAAGCCATGGGTGTATGTGATCATCTAAGCACAATATACAGGGAAAATAAAAAGAGCAAAGGATGGACTTGGAAACCATAGTCTCTGTGAAAGATAGGTACAGAGAGGTCTATGGAAGAGGACAGAACTGCCACTCTTCACAAAATTTAGTTTTAAAATGAAATGTTCACATGAGAAATTAGAGTTGTTTCTTTTATTATTTTTTCTTTTTAAGATAAATATATAACCTACTTATGCATCACAGAAGTCAGATAAAGAAGAATTGCAGAAGATTTTGGTAATGAAATATAACTATCTTTCAAAAATTTGGTGAATATTTTTATATTATAATTAATCACATACTAATGTAATTTTTGTTAAAAATGTAGTATTTACAAAGTGTCAGTGTGTAATAAAAGATGGCATTCAGTACATCAAATTGATTATTCTAAGCTTGAAACAAATATCAAGATTCAAATTCATTCAATGTCTATCACTTATAGTATAATTTTCTACAAAATGAAAAGTAGAGCAATACAAGTAAGCATAACGTGTACTCTTATCCATTTCAACAGGTCAAATTTTGCTATTAATACTAATGAAAACACATTCCTGTATAGTTAACCTTCAAGGCCCTACTCAAATTTGAATCTCTCTTTGGGGACTTTACCCATTTATTAAATAGGAATTATCTTGACCTCTCCTAAACTCTTTTATTTAAACAAAAAAAAAGTTTTATATTTTTATAATATATAACATGTATATATGTTCTTTTTAAAAAATATACATATATGTTCTTTTAAAAAAATACAAATGCAGGATTTTACCCAAATTCTGTTTTGTTATCTATATAGATATACATTTTACACAAATATTGGATTTTACTCCAATTCTGTTTCATAACCTGATTTTTAATCTCTGAAAAAACATGCTACTTTTTCATGACCTTATTCTTCTACAATCCTATTTTCTTGTGGAAAAATTTTCAATGTTAAGTTGTATTTTTTTCTGATTATAGGAAAAACATCCAATATGAAAATATCAGAAAAAAAGTTAAAAAAAAACATAAAATAATCATATAGGTGTCTTTCCTTCTGCCTTTTCTACATAAACATACAAATGTTATCTTAAAGACATTTTAACCTGCTTTTATAAATTTAAAACTATGCTTATTCCTTCTTTCATAAGTATTCTAAATCATTTTAATAGTTCTATAGAATTTCACAATTTTATCAAAAATCTATTTTATAAGTTCAGTAGAATTAACTATTTGGTTGTTTATCATTTTCATTGCTATTAAAACAGACTATGAGAAACAACCTTTGCTCATATCTTTTCAGATATTCCTAATTTTTTCCTTTACATTGTCACCAGATATAGAATTGCTGTGACAATAGGAGGGATTATTACATATTTGATAAGTAGACTAAGTACTTATTGCATATTCTTTACCTCTTTTTGATAGCATTGCCCATGTAGACTTAATTAGCTTACCTTCTTTGTTAATATTTAAATCTGCGGAAGGCAAAAATTATATGTGAATTAAAATAACATGTGTTGGCCTAATATATAAGTCTTGCAAACTTAAAAAATTAAGTTGTGTAACATTTGTCCTTCATTCCTTAAATCTACAGCTTATTCTATTCAGCCCACAAAAGCTTCATATTGAGGTCCCTAAGTGAGGCATACCTTCTGGCTTATGAATTCACGAAGGTACATACTTGGAGAATCATTATTAGAATACGGGTATGTCTGACCCTTACTTCCGATCTCTTGTCATTTAGAAACCAGAAGTCAAGGAGTCTTTTGAGTTACTGGATTATCTGCCTGCTCTAATTGCATGACTTTGGAAGTGACGAAATTTTGAGTCCTCAAAGCTAACTCAGCCCTCCAGTGCCTGTCATGAAGAAGATTACAGAACAATGTGTCAATTTGAAATGCTTAATGATAACTTTGTTCCCACCTTGGTCCCTTCTGGAAATAGGCTTCCCTCCTTAACCTGAAACACTCTATGAAATTTCATCTTTAAATCTACTTATAGTTCGGGCATTTTGACACCCAGTTCAGAAAGAAACCTATTCATAGTTTCCTGTTTGATCACTTAGAGAGGAAAAAATACATATTCATTGACTTTAAAGTACGATAGAATTTTACAACTATAATATTTTGAAGATATACAGTAGTCCAGTATTTTGAGAAGATAAAAATCTTGCTGGAGTTATCTTCTGAGTTCCATGGGTAAGAGTCCGAAACATGCACCCATGATGTCCTGGAGAACTGTACTCACCTGGAGCCAAAGTCCATCACTTCCTTCAATGCTGGTGCCAACATGCTGTCAGTCAGACACCCTTAACTGGAGTATCACCGGCCAGGAACTGCTTGCTTTTTATTCCCACCTGGAACAAAACACAATGTCGTCATTTTTTTTTTTAATGTTTGTTCAAGTACAGTAAGATATTCATTATGTTATCTTTCCTTCTCACATCAGACACCCATTTATCAGAATGTTCAACACAAAGGAAAGAAGCGTAAACTCTTCACCTCTATCAATTATACCACAATGATTAAAATAACAGCTGTTTAAGTCAGAGAGACCATCTATATTTTATCTCCATAAAGGATCATTATTCCAGTGCCATCATTCCTATCCATTTGGTTTAAGTAATTGATGTGTTAATTTAGGAAGTAATTTTCTATATATTGTCCTTGGAGACTGTAAATCAAAATACCCTAAACTCCAGAGAATATGTTGAAAGTATTGTTTCCTGACTTTTTTTAACACCATCAAAAGTAATCTCAATAGGAAGCAATTTAGTAATGCAATAGTTTTATGCCTGTAGTACTTTATATTGTTCAACTTGTGAGACACTGATGAAGAGCAGAGATGCTTCCTCGAATGCACCAGAGTGTTGCTACTATGAAACATTAGATGAAAATAGAGATTTTGACCAGATGATGGAATCATATTCTTAAAAAACAAAACAAGACCTCAGAGCTGGGCTGCCTGTGTATGAAAGGGATGTTACAGTCCTTTACTTCTCACAAATGGAGCCACTTGACCTTCAGCACTCTCAGACTTGCTCCAGTCTGGTGCACAATTGGGTGGTTTAAGGAAATGCAAGAAATCCAACAATATGCCCTTCTTGTTGCAGTCTGTCCAGGCAGCACATGCTTGCCTTTGCCTTTGTCCCTTTCTCTGGCCCTTGGAGTTTGACTCTGAATTGAATCTCATGGTGGGGATCCTGTTTATTTGTTGACCTTCCTCCTGAGGCTTACTGCCTACCTTCAGCCTCAGGACCAGGTTGATACGCCCTACTGTTTGACCCACCTGCCAGGGGAACCTCTTACCTCTTGTTGTACTCACTTTGCACTTATCACTTGTTTGAATCACCACCTGACATCTGGCACCACCCTCTCTGAATGAATAATGTGGCTCCATGTACTTCAACACAAGCAGTGAAATCTTTTCCCTTTCTGGTCTCAAGTTCTGAACCACTTCTTTTGTCTCATGTTGCTATTAAGAGTTTTTCTATGCGGTGTAACATAAAAGGTGCAAGAGAGACCCATTTCCATTCTGTAATAGAAGTTAAATCTTAAGAGTGAATATTGTTCTTTCCTTGTAGCCTTCTTAAAATTCAGATTTTTCTCATCTCACTTTGGAATGAATTTTATCCCCTTTATTTCTTCTGCTATTACCACAATAAGCTTTCATTAGCTCTCATTCAGATAATAACAATGACTTCTTAAATGTCGGTCTAGTGCCAACTGAAAACAGATGGCACTTTCAAATTAGAATAATTGAGGAGAGTCTAATAAAGAACCTATTACAAAACTGTGGGCTATATGTAGGGAAACCACAAGGGAAGGTGCCACACTGAGCCTGGCAGAGACGAGGACAAGGAGCAGTTACTGCCATCTAGGAGTCAAATGTATAGAGAGGTTCCTTTGGGCACAAACAGTGATTTTCAGTTGGGAGTCCCAGGTAGCACAAGATGACAGAATGTGAGGGAGCCCTAAGATGAACTACTTTCATCTTCTCCCTTCTCTCTGGTTTCCTACCTGTCCTACCTACGAGACAAACCACCCTAGACTCCTAAAGTCATGGAGTGTCTTGATGAACTCCATTCAGACTAGTTTCCAGTGTTAGAGAGTAGGATGAAGAAAGGTAAAGAGTGAATCTGAAGGGAGAATAGAAGAGGTTCAGCAAACACTTATTCATACTTCAGAGCATGGGATTTGGAATCAAATGTAGGGTTTGACTCCTGGCTTTACTTATGTCTGTAACTAGATAAATTTTTATAATTCTTGGTATCATTATCTGTATGATTCAGATAACATACGTCAGAGTTTTATTGTTAGAATTAAATGGCATAACACACCTAGGACATAATATCTACTAAGTAGTTAGTATTAGCCACAGTGGCAGTAATTCCTCTCAAAATGATAGAAATCCGATTTAAGCACACTCCAGCCACGCTAAACTCTTCAACACTTGTAATGGACAGTGTATTTTCAGATCTTTCACAAGTACTATTCCTTCTGTTTAAGAATTTTGTTTTCTTCCCCCTCCCCACCCTGTTGCCAGAGAATCCCTACTCATATTTTAAAATCCATGAAATGATCTAAAGGTTCTCTTCAGTTTCAGTAAAAGGAGATCATTCCTTTTTTTTTTTCTTTCCATGGCGCATATCATTCTGCAAAGTAATCAGCCTATATCATCTTCCTATTTGATTATGAGTTCCTTAAAGGAAAGGTTATGTCTGACAGATTTGTATCCTCAGAAGGTGGTTTGCTGCCAGGTTCTTAGTAGCTATTCAATAAACATTAAGTCAATGAATGTGTATTACTAGAGTAAATCTGTTACAATGTAAGGAAAAGGTTTGTTAACTTCTTAAACTTCTTTCCTCTGTGCCCAAAGGGCAAATCAATCTGTAACATGGTAGGTGGTGGGGAGTAAGATTATCATGGAAAGGCAAGACAACCGAAGAAGAGATCCCAAGGGAAACTCCAAACAGCTCTGCAAGTTCTCCCTGGGACAACCCTGCTAGAAACTTCACCTCATTCATTCCAAGACTGCCAGACATATTAGTACTGGTTGATTTCAAGCACATAATTAGTAACTTATAAACTAAGTACCTGAATACAAACACCTCTGAGTATCTGACGCATTTAAGTGATAAGTTGAACTGTCAACATTTCCTCAATGACTAACCCAACATTTCCCCCCTGCAATTTAAAATACATATATTTATTGTTTTGTGAATAGGTAATACATTCTGCATGCATCTAGGCCTCACAAAATGATATATAGACCTAAGTCTTTCTGGGGGGGCGGAGCAAAATGGCGGAGGAGTAGGAGACCTGGATTTCGTCTCCTCTCAGGAATTCAGCTGGATAGGGATCAAACCATTCTGAACACCTACAAACTCAACA